GTTCAAATTTGGAATGGGCCGTTTTGACATCGGAATGGGCTGTTTCGGATTCAAATTTAACTTATAACAAACTAATCCAGAAAGGGCCATTTTGAAACTGTAATGGGCCATTCTGGTTAGTTCTGACGTGTAAAATAGTAGACTCGGGCACTGTTCCCAGGCTCGAAAAAATTTGTCTAGGAAGTCTCATATAGATTGAAATTTCTCTCTCCTTCCTCTTTTATCTCTTGAGATTTTGTGAGGTACATTGTAGTGTGTAAGGTAACCAAAAAAACACCTAGAGCTCTCTAAACTTGAAGATTCAATAAAGCTGAAATAAGAGGTATTTAGTCAATATTCTTCTTCCTCTCTCACTTCCTTCGCTCTTATAAATATTGTTCTAAATAAAAGAAATAACCATGTAGATATCCTAGGTTAATTCGCATAATTTAAATTTTATGCATGTAAATAATCATTAATAAAAGGGGATCTAATATTTAAACTATTAATTCTCGTTACGTTAACTTCATCATAGGGTATCAATTTAGGGCGTTGTAGGGGTGCTTAATACCTTCCCTACATGTAACCGACCCCCGAACCCAATTCTGGTTGTCAAGGCCATTTTTGGACTTTTAAAAATCTTCTTTTTCCAATGTTTTGAGTAAAACATTGGTGGCGACTCCATGAACCATTTTTCAAAACCATTAATTAAGGATTATTCTGGTTTCCGGGCATTCCATAATCAATGAGATTTTTCTAAAAGGTAGTCCAAACCATTGGTCGTAAGATCAGAATTTTTTAGGTTACGACACCTAGGAAGGACTTCAAGAAAAAGAATCATTCCTCCTATATAAAGGATAAACCACTAGAAAAATCCAAAGAAAAACAAAAACAAAAGCCTTCTGATGAGCCTAGAACTATCTACTTGTACAAAATTCACTTTTGATTGAAATTCTCCAAGATTCCCACAAGAACCTTATTCACTTCTTGGTGCGTCCGGCCTCCCATGCTTAGGCATGGTGGACAATTTTTGTCCTTGGCCGTGTGTGGCCAACCTCCCTTCAACCACCTCTCATCAACCATCGTCATCACCATCCTTTGCTAAAGTCTTGACTACAAACTTGGCCTCATCATGTGAGCTCCCTCTCCCTAAGCCTTGTCGGAAGGGAGACTCTATTGCTGTGAAAATTCCGGAACAAGATTATCAAGAAGGACTTTTACGCTGCCGCAACCATCTTCATGGTAGAGTCATCTTGGCCAAAGGGCAAAAACCTTTGAAATTTGTTGAGCTCAAAGAAAAACTAGCTAGGCTATGGACGCATCTTGCTGGCTGGACAATCATCTCTCTTGGAAAAGGGTTCTTTGAATTTGAATTCCAACACAACAAGGATCTTGGCACAATTCTTGTAGCCGGATTATGGAATCTTGAACTCAGATTACTTAAACTCTCCCTTTGGAAGTTGGACTTCAATCCAAGAAACTTCAAGAACATTCTTGCACAAGTTTGGCTGCGGATTTATGAGCTGCCTCAAGAATATTGGTGTACTTGGATCATCCTTGCCATAGCCTCGGGTGTAGGCACGCCTATTACAATAGATCAAGCCATGGTACAAAGATCATATGACACTTTGCACGAGTATTAGTTGAAGTCAACCTTGCTGAATCAATTTTGGATCATTTGCTAGTGGAGAGGGAAGGATTTGCCTTTTATGTGGCATTAGATTTTGATAGGATACCTTCTTATTTCTCTTTATGTCAATGCATTGGACATGATAATTTTTCTTGTAACATACAAAAACCTGCAGATGAAGTATGGAGGAATTCAAAACCGGTTAATGAAGAACCACGCAAAAAATCTGCAGCTGATGCTAACACAATGGATGTTGACGAATTAATCACCACTTAAGAGGTTGATAACGCCAATGCTACTAAGAACGTAGGTGACTCAGCTGCTCCAATAGCAATAAATAATCAGCATGTACGTGTCTCAGTCTCGGATACAGAATTGGATCCTCCTTGTGATGATGATAAGGACAAGGCTACATCTGTAGCAGGTGTTGTCCAACATCCATCTAATCTAGGGACACATCTTGCTACACAGTTGGTTGGTAGCTCGGTGGCTGCACCTGCTTCAGCAGCTGGCTTGGTGCAGTCTGGTTTTGTGAAATCTGTTGCAGTTGTCCCTGCTAAAATGATAGCTACTCAGCACCTCTTGGCACTCCCTTGGTAGTAGCTAATGATCAGCAATTGAGCAATGTAAAGGCCTCTTAGAAGCATGTAGATTTCGGCGCTAAACCAGCTGTTGTCATGATTGAAAAATTAGCTACAGTAGTGATGGGAAATTAGCCAATTATGGCAGTCCATTCGGCAGCAAGTGAGGCCAGCCATAGTGATAACTGTAGACCCCTAAAATTGTCCGGG